TGGCAAGTAGAAAGAGAGGTATTTGCCATTGGAAATTATCTCGCATGGCTTCTATGCTTCATATGACCGAGGTCGAGATACCCTTGCAACACATTATTGTACATTGTGCCTAAGTCTCCTTTTTTCTGAAAGATCGCTCCATACTGAAAAACTGCTGGAGTGCAGCTGACCGAGAGTGGCCTAGAGACAGTTTTTTTGGAAATTCTTCCTTGAATGGAAGTCGCACAATGTATCGACCGTTTGGGGCACGAGTCGTTGTTGTTGCATATATATGCTCACATGCCTGATCTTCAGGGGGAAATTTGTGGAGGTTGTGGAATCTCCTCCTCTTCCCAAAACTTTCTAAGCTGACAACTGAGAGTTGTATTCGAGCATTCCTCTACTTGTGTCGAGAATGACACCACATTTTCGGTTATTGGACCACTGAGAATCCAGCCAAATATTGTTTTTTGCGCAAGTATAGTGTCGCAAATCTTTTGTATACCTTCCAACAGGATTTGTGGAAGTATATCGCTGCCGATTACCATATCAGTTTGAGCTGGTATGTGACAGCTTGGGTCAGCAAGCTCAAGGATCTTGAATCGCTGCCAGTTTTCACTGCTAATGGTGAATGTAGGCATGTGCCTCGTGAGCTGAGGTAACACGATAGCCTGTGTGTTTATCCGTTGCATGGTTTTGGGTGCAACCAATGTGAGTGGACAAAGTTTTGAGGAGCTTTGTACTACGTGTCCACCCATGCCGGAAATTTCGAACTTGGAATGTTCGAATGGTAGTTTCAACCGTTTCTGAACTTTCGAGGAAATGAAAGTTTTCTGTGAGCCTTGATCAATTAGCTTTCAAAACCATTTTGTTTCATATCAAAATGTTGCTTCTGTCCAAAGCGCTACGATTAATTCGCATGGAGTGTTTAAAAAGCACACTGTGCGGCGGTGGTTAGGCCAATTCTCTATCACGGTATAGTGTGTATGGTGGGACACACTTGGGTAAACTTAAAAAAATGGACAAAGTTCAAAGGCTTGCGTCCACACTCATAACTAGTGCGATGAGAACAACACCATCCAAGGCACTGTATGCCCTACTGAATTTTCTTCCGGTAGACCTACATGCCAAACAAGTGACATGTGGCAAATCGAATGAACATTCTAAATAAGTGGTCAAATACCAGTTATGGTCACGGTAGGATACTAACGGAGTTTCCAGGGCTTCCCGGATGGGTGGACTATGCACTTCCGGAACCTGCACCCGATATAGCGTTTACGACCTCCCTACACTCAAAGGAGGAGTGAAAGTATGACGTTGTAAGTAGTGGAGAGTCCATCCATGTATATACAGATGGCTTAAAACTCTAGGGCAGGGTTGGAGGAGGTGTATACTCCCATCAGCTGGCAATCTCCCTCAGCTATCGTCTCCCGGACCACTGTTGCGTTTTTCAAGCGGAACTGATGGCAATCGTTAGATCCACGAAACTAATATCTATATGTTCACTGACAGCCAGGCGGCAAAAAGTCCCTCACGAAGCAGTCCATAAACTCCATGGCAGCCATGAATTGCCGGGCATATCTTAACGAGATGGCTGAGTCATTTCGCCCAAAGGTGTTATGGGTTCCGGGGCACTGCGGCATAGAGGGGACTTGTAATGCCGACGAACTGGCTCGACTTGGCACAAAACTTCCTTTTGAGGATATAAACGATAATAGGAATACCCTTACAAACTTGTAAGCTACTTATCTCCGAGAGGCTTACTAAAGTATGTCCCTTTGTTTCAGACCTACGATATCGATACCATCTGCATACGCCAGCAGCATCATTCTTTTGCTATATATGGTGCCGCTGCGATTCAGATGGCAGCTCTTATTACGCTTTCCAGTACCAGTCGCACGAGAGGAATCGCCTTGTCTAAAACCTCGTTTGGTTTCAACGGACGGAACTGAAGGTTTGAGTTCAACGTCACTCTACATAGCCGTATTAGTTTTGCGGGGATTCCAAATTTGGACCTGGCGTCGTAAAGTCAGCTCCTCTTCGTGCTATCAAAAGCAGCTTGAAATCGACAAGAAGATGGTGTTAAGGGTTAAGCATTGCTGACATTTAAAGGTTAATGGTGTCTGTGCGATCGACTCTTTCCTCATTTATCTTCGCACCTCATTCGCCGCAGTCAACTCCAGCTAACCTATTGTTTTGTTAAGTACATATTGGCCCCTATTATGAGTTGCATTCGATTTTCGACTGTGGTCGAAAGTGCTGAGCGAACGAATTTTCATTTGGTATTATGGCGCTCATTCGATGAAGTATAGCGCTATTGTGAATTTCGCTCGTTTAGGTTGTTCACAATAGCATATTTTTCACCGCTGAGAAGCTTTGTTTACAAATCGAGCAAACTAAATAGTGTGCTTATACATATTTATGTAAATTTGTTCTAATTAAAATGAAGTAAAAAAGAAAGCTAGTTTATAAAAACGTGGTAAAATGAGTACAACGAGTTCTGGTTCAACGATTCGTCCGAGGATGAGAGCTTAGTAAACTGGCCAGGAGTAGCAAATGTTTAAGAGAGTTTAAGTTTATTAGTCTTTCGAATATATTTTGATATAAAATATATTTAAGAAATTTGTCTACAGATTCATTAAAAAGTTCCGACCATCTAAAGAGGCGTTTGTGAGCCAAATCTATTTAAAATATTTTAAAACTATCAACAGCGCTACGATTTTGTTCTCAGAGATCGTGCCAACAGAGTATTGGGGGTTTCAAATGGTTAGTTGAAGTTATTTTTCTTATCATATTCGTTTTCAGCGACCGAAAAAAACTAGAAATAGTGGGGTATACCATCTGGTTCACAACATTGTTTGTTTATGTGTTCCAGTTTAATTAATATACACCCGATTTCGGATTTCCCACCTAAAAGTGTCAAAGAATCTTTTCTGGAATTTGGTATATTCACGAAAGTTACGGCCTGAGACATTTCGAACAACTTTGCCAAAGAAATTTTGCCGATAAAACCAACCAGATAAAAGTTAGAAACCATAAAATAGGGTATAAGACCTGAAAAATTGCCATTGGAGGTGAAATTTTCAAAATAAAAAGTTGTATGAAGGCGTGCAGAAAGCTTAAAAAACTAACCATACCCGAGATAGGGTGAAACTGTCTTCTCCGGCCATGTCTTTTTTTGCGGCTATAATAGGGTAATTATTAAAAGTCCTTCCTGGAAAAATTACATGGCTTTTAATAATGCCAAATCATTAAAAATTTTAATGCGTTAAAATTCTTGGTTAGCATTAGTGTGGATACTTTTATGAAAACAAATTTCACTAGCATTATATTCTTCAGAATTAATGCATTTATATTTTACTAAGCATTAGATTTTCAAAATTAATGCATTGCAATTTTTATTTGCATTAAATTTAAATATTATAAATGAAATAAATGCATTAATTTTTTACATTATCGTTATTGCTTAATGGTACGTTACTGCATTACAAAATTAATGCATTTCGCACAACTCTGGTATACATACATCACACGAGCCCTAAACGCCAAAGAGATGTAAGCGACATTTTTTTAAGTTTTTAATTTTGATGCAGAAATGAATCTAGATGCTCTAGGAACATTTCTGCATCAAAAAGAAAATTGTGAAAAAATGTCGCTTACATCTTTTTGGCGGTTAGGGCTACATATGTGAAAACTACGTGATTGACGGAAAATCTAGTTCACGCAAGCTTACGTCAGCCAAACTTTCAGTCACACACGATCACGGAAGTTACGTGATTTTTCTCTCAAAACCACTCACGCTCACACGTGAAAAAGCGTGACACTACGTGTCACGTAGAAAAGCACATATTTTGCCCATCTCTAGTGTAGGGACGAAGCTCACGTCCCGGAACTCGACCAAGACGAGGAGAGAACAGCAATAAAGCGCCTTAAGAACAACAAGACCCCCGGAGCCGACGGTATACCGGCTGAGCTGTTCAAAGCCGGCGCGAAGAGTTGATGGGGCATATGTACCAGCTTTTAAGCAGAATTTGGTCTGATAAAAACATGCTCGAAGACTAGAATCTCAATGTATTTTGCCCAATCCACAAGAAGGGAGATTCCGCCGTTTGCGCCAATTATCGCGGAATAAGCCTTCTTAATATTGCATACAAGATGCTGTCGACGATGAAAGACTGAAGCCGTTCGCGAACCAGCTGATTGGCTTCAGTGTGGCTTCAGACCTGGTAAGTGCACTATTGACCAGATTTTCAAAGTACGTGAATTCCTGGAGAAGACACTAGATAAGCAAATCGACACACACCATCTGTTTTGAGCTGGCAAGCCTTTTTTCCAACAAATGGAAAATAAAACGATGCGACTACGCGCTATGACTTTAGGTTTCAAGAAGAGGTTTCAAAGTAGAACAGTTTATTTTCTTGCGGAATTTATATTCATACTCCTGCACATATGTATAAGAAGAAATGCTAGGCATTCAAATACTTAAGTGCTTTGTACGTACATAATTGGTACTTCTATTAATTTACAACCAACAATTACAGATATCGGTTCACCTAATGCGACAAACTAAATACATGTATATATTTATACATGAAGCTACATACATATTATGCATGTGATCTTTATGTACATATAGAAGTGGATATACAATATATGTACTTAACAAAACAATAGGTTAGCTGGAGTTGACTGCGGCGAATGAGGTGCGAAGATAAATGAGGAAAGAGTCGATCGCACAGACACCATTAACCTTTAAATGTCAGCAATGCTTAACCCTTAACACCATCTTCTTGTCGACTTCCAAGCTGATTTTGATAGCACGAAGAGGAGCTGACTTTACGACGCCCGGTCCAAATTTGGAATCCCCGCAAAACTAATACGGCTATGTAGAGTGACGTTGAACTCAAACCTTCAGTTTCGTCCGTTTGAAACCAAACGAGGTTTTAGACAAGACGATTCACTCTCGTGCGACTGGTACTGGAAAGCGTAATAAGAGCTGCCATTCTGAATCGCAGCGGCACCATATATAGCAAAAGAATGATGCTGCTGGCGTATGCAGATGGTATCGATATCGTAGGTCTGAAACAAAGGGACATACTTTAGTAAGCCTCTCTGAGATAAGTAGCTTACAAGTTTGTAAGGGTATTCCTATTATCGTTTATATCCTCAAAAGGAAGTTTTGTGCCAAGTCGACCCAGTTCGTCGGCATTACAAGTCCCCTCTATGCCGCAGTGCCCCTGAACCCATAACACCTTTGGGCGAAATGACTCAGCCATCTCGTTAAGATCTCGGCAATTCATGGCTGCCATGGAGTTTATGGACTGCTTCGTGAGGGACTTTATTGCCGCCTGGCTGTCAGTGAACATATAGATATTAGTTTCGTGGATCTAACGATTGCCATCAGTTCCGCTTGAAAAACGCAACAGTGGTCCGGGAGACGATAGCTGAGGGAGATTGCCAGCTGATGGGAGTATACACCTCCTCCAACCCTGCCCTAGAGTTTTAAGCCATCTGTATATACATGGATGGACTCTCCACTACTTACAACGTCATACTTTCACTCCTCCTTTGAGTGTAGGGNTTCCTTTGAGTGTAGGGGGGTCGTAAACGCTATAATGGGTGCAGGTTCCGGAAGTGCATAGTCCACCCATCCGGGAAGCCCTGGAAACTCCGTTAGTATCCTACCGTGACCATAACTGGTATTTGACCACTTATTTAGAATGTTCATTCGATTTGCCACATGTCACTTGTTTGGCATGTAGGTCTACCGGAAGAAAATTCAGTAGGGCATACAGTGCCTTGGATGGTGTTGTTCTCATCGCACTAGTTATGAGTGTGGACGCAAGCCTTTGAACTTTGTCCATTTTTTTAAGTTTACCCAAGGTGTCCCACCATACACACTATACCGTGATAGAGAATTGGCCTAACCACCGCCGCACAGTGTGCTTTTTAAACACTCCATGCGAATTAATCGTAGCGCTTTGGACAGAAGCAACATTTTGATATGAAACAAAATGGTTTTGAAAGCTAATTGATCAAGGCTCACAGAAAACTTTCATTTCCTCGAAAGTTCAGAAACGGTTGAAACTACCATTCGAACATTCCAAGTTCGAAATTTCCGGCATGGGTGGACACGTAGTACAAAGCTCCTCAAAACTTTGTCCACTCACATTGGTTGCACCCAAAACCATGCAACGGATAAACACACAGGCTATCGTGTTACCTCAGCTCACGAGGCACATGCCTACATTCACCATTAGCAGTGAAAATTGGCAGCGATTCAAGATCCTTGAGCTTGCTGACCCAAGCTGTCACATACCGCTCAAACTGATATGGTAATCGGCAGCGATATACTTCCCAAATCCTGTTGGAAGGTATACAAAAGATTTGCGACACTATACTTGCGCAAAAAACAATATTTGGCTGGATTCTCAGTGGTCCAATAACCGAAAATGTGGTGTCATTCTCGACACAAGTAGAGGAATGCTCGAATACAACTCTCAGTTGTCAGCTTAGAAAGTTTTGGGAAGAGGAGATTCCACAACCTCCACAAATTACCCCCTGAAGATCAGGCAAGTGAGCATATATATGCAACAACAACGACTCGTGCCCCAAACGGTCGATACATTGTGCGACTTCCATTCAAGGAAGAATTTCCAAAAAAACTGTCTCTAGGCCACTCTCGGTCAGCTGCACTCCAGCAGTTTTTCAGTATGGAGCGATCGCTTCAGAAAAAAGGAGACTTAAGCACAATGTACAATAATGTGTTGCAAGGGTATCTCGACCTCGGTCATATGGAGCATACGAAGCCATGCGAGATAATTTCCAATGGCAAATACCTCTCTTTCTACTTGCCACATCACGCGGTCGTCAAACCAGATAAGGTAACCACCAAAGTTCGCGTGGTATTCAACGCCTCAAAAACATCTGGTTCAGGAAAATCCCTGAATGACGTGTTGCACACTGGTCCCACACTCCAGCCAGATCTCATGCTGTTCATTATGCAGTGGCGAATGCACAGATTCGTGTTCAATGGCGACATTGAAAAAATGTATCGTCAAATACTCATCCACGAGGCCGATAAAGATTTTCAGCGAATCTTGTTTCGCATGTCGGCTGACTCTCCTGCCACCGAATATAATCTCAAAACCGTAACGTTCGTAGCGACATTTCCCTTGGCTGCCATAATACTTAAAACCGAAACGTATGCGGAAGTCATGATATTGACAATGCCACTGAATCACTTGTTCAAGTGATGAAAGCGCTCAAGTCAGCTGGTTTCATACTTAAAAAACTAACGGCCAATCATCCGGCCATTTTAGAGAAATTTCCAAATGAGGATCTTCTCGACTCCAACTTTTTGAAATTTGAGAGCGCTTCCACAACCAAAACTCTTCGTATAAAAGCGACAAATCTTATCCTCTGTCGCAAAACTTTTTGACCCGGCAGGATGGCTGTCGCCAGTGATGATTCAAGCAAAGATTCTGCTTCAAGAACTTTGGCTGGATGACGGTGATTGGGACGAATGTGCCAAACCCATAGCCTTAGCAAAATGGCAACAGTTCGCAGAAAATCTTTTTTAAGTTTTCTGCAAGCCTTCATACAACCTTTTTATTTTGAAAATTTAGCCTCCAATGGAAATTTGTCAGGTGTTATGCCCTATTTTATTTTTTCCAACTTTTATCTCGTTGGCTTTTTCGGCCAAATTTTTTTTCACAAAGTTGTTTTGAACGTCTCAGGCCTTATTTTTTATGAACATACCAAACTCCTGAAAGTAGGTCTTGGAAAGTTTTAGGTGGAAAATCCGAAAGCATTTTTATGCTTATTACACAGAAGAACACAAAAAGTTTTTGAACCAGAGGGTAGACCCCACTATTTCTAGTTGTTTATGACCAAAAAAATAACTTGAACTGACCATTTTCCCGCTACCCCTGGGGATTGAAATTCCATTTCTCATGCAAAGTTGAGATGTCTGTGTCTTTCTATGTTTTTTCGACCGTTGAAACCGAAAATTACTATAAAAAATAAAGTTGTAAAGCTGAAAATACTTTATTCGTAAGCAAAAATAATGATTAATGGCCTTATTCATAAAAAATAAAGTAGGTTTAAAGAGCTTTATAAATTGACGTTTTCATACATTTTTCAATTTATAAACCTTTTATAAGACTACTTTATTTTTATGAATAAGGCCATAAATAAAAAAAAAGTTAAGTGGATATGTGGTTAATTAATGATAACTGCCGCAAGAAATTCTACGTTTACTTGTGAAGCTGCCACAGAAGACAACGACGAACTTTATTAACACTTTCAACCCTCCTGCCCAATCTTCATTATTGATACAATTTCTTACCAATTAGACTATTCGAAACATGTTTTGTTTTCTGCTTTTTAATGTGTGAAAGATTGTACAAATAAAATTTTATTCACAATAAAATGTTTTCTACTTTAACCATACAAAACCAACTACCTGACATTACCATCTCCAAACTCACCTTTCTTTAAGAGACTGTCCAAATCCATTGCCATTTCAAAATTGGAAACTTAGATTCGAGAATCGGGATCAGCGATCTCAAAAACCCCAAAATACCCTGTTTTAATAAAGTTTACTGATTTATTCATCTTTCTTTTCGCCATATTTGATCCGCCATTTCGAATTTTGAAATCTAACTTCAAATTGATTGATTGCCTAGATTTTTTAATTTTTGTATTCACCACCAAAAGACAAGACGAACAGCCGCCACAGACTATTTCGCCAACACTTGTGTATAACAAATTTTAATTTAAACAAATATATAATCGCAAACAATCATAGAAAATTTTAATTTTCAAATATATAATCACAAACAATCATATACAATTTCAATTTTGTGAATACAAGTACAAATTAAATTAATTTGTGCATTGCAAATATATATTCAATTTGTGATAGTGACAATTGGCTGCTTTTAAACTTTTTATTATTTTGTTTGTTGTTTTCACTTTTAATTTGCACAAACAATATGCCTTGTTTTTGTGGTCAGAGAGTGGAGCGCGCTCAAAGCAGTGTGCAGTGTGAGAAATGTAAAGAAGTATACCACCTGCAATGTGTTGTTGGTACGTTGGCCGCTGATTTGGACTATTTCAAAAATTCCGACAATATTTATATTTGTGGTGATTGTGCTGTCACTGATCGTGAAGATGGTGTGTCATACAATGCTGTCGCTGTACAACAACAACATCAACATGTAAATAACGAGCAGAATCACTTGTTATCTTCCATTCTTGCCGAATTGAAGAGTCTGCGTACAGAGCAAGCAAGTGCGGTGGCAGTTATACACTCTCTGCAAGCCGACAAAAACAGGTTTCTGGGCGAATTAGAACTTATGCGCTCTCAGCTACAGTGTCTCACAAAAATCTGTGATGAAGGGGTTGCTAGTGCACTTGCCTCGCTAACATCAGAGGTCAAAGAACTGAGTTTGAGTGTTAGCAAAAATAAAGAAAACAAAAATAAAGAAATCAAAGGAAGAAATAAAAACAATACAAACGCTAAGAAAGATATTCCTACCGGCCAGCAAAACTCTGCTAAAGCATCTGTTGCCGGTGAACATAACACTGAGTTAAACCAACGTATTGAGGAGTTGAGCAACAACAATGCTATGTGTACGGTTGTGACGGCTGAAAAGGTGTCGGTTGCTAAAAGTGTTGTTAGCTCTACTAATATTAATAATGCTATCTTGAATACACCAATATATAGCATAGCTAACTCTGCTGTAGCTAACAGTGTTACATCGACCAACTCTGTTACCTCTGTACCTGCAGTCGTGGCGTCTAACAACGTAAATAACATATCCTACGCTAGTCGCGTGGCCACTCCATCTGTTGTTGCTGATAATACTGATAATACGGCTGTTATTGAACAAAACAATATATATACGGCTGTAAATAATGCGAATGGTAATAGCACTGATGCTGTTAACAATGCTGTTAGCAATGATGATGTTGCTGGTTTTTCTGGTGCTGTTGATTTGAATCCGGTCGGTCCTAGGTTGGTGAC